GAAAAAATTATAATATACTAGCCGTAGAAACATTTTTTGATAAACGTATGTTTCAAACGCTTATTCCTAATGATCCCTTCATCCTGGGTATTTTGCGTGAACCCGTTGAACGACAGGCGTCTTATGTGTTTTACAACAAAAACATACGTATAAAATTGGAAAAAAAGATGAAAACAGACCCTTACATCTTCCGTTCTTATCCTAGCAGTGCTCCACATATGTTACGAGATTACAATTTTTATGGAAGCAGGTTGGGCATCGACAAATTTATTGAAAAAATGGACAACGAATTCGACATGATTATGCTGACAGAATATTTCGACGAATCGTTGATCTTGTTAAAACGGAAGTTGTGTTGGACTTTCAAAGACATTGTGTATATGACAGTAAATAAGAACTTTAAAAATAAGGGATATGCTGTAAGTCCTGCTGACCGAGAAAAAGTATTAAATACATATAAAAATGATTCCATGTTTTACGAACATTTTAAGGGTAATTTTTTTGGTGAAATGGGTAAAAATGGTGTCGGATTTTTACACGAATTACATCAATTTAAACTGGTTCTTAAACTTGTTAGAGATTATTGTACATTTGTGAAAAAGGGAGATAAGTCACTTGTTATTCCTAAATCCTCGTGGAACGAACGTTTTCTTGTAGACCCTAATGAGTGCCGTCTTATGCAGTTAATAGAATTCCCCCTTGTTCGATTGCTACAGAAACGCCAGTGGCAATTATACGCTGATTCTTCACAAAAATAGTATTGACCATCATTATATCACTGAAATACTTTAAGAAGCATCATGTAAGATTTAGATAAAGAGCTCCCAGTTCTCTCTATAATAATTATATTAAAGATACATTATGTAAAGATTTATATAAAGAGCTGCGAGTTCCCGCTATAATAGTTCTATTACATATGGATAAAGAGCTGACCATTCTTGCTTTAATAATTTAAAAAGCATAATGTAAAATTTAGATAAAGAGCTGGACGTTCTTTCTATAATAGTTCAAAAATAGATAATGAAAATGAATGTACTGAAAACTTCATTCACATTTCTTTGTTCTAGGCGAAGTTATGAGTATCGATTATCGATTTTATCGTTAGTTTCGTACGCACGTGTTTTCAAATCCATTTTGTCGCTAGTTTCTTTCGCATGGGTGTTCATATCCATTTTATCGCTAGTTTCTTACGCACGGGTGTTCTGATCCATTTTATCGTTAGTGTCTTACGCACGGGTGTTCTGATCCATTTTATCGCTAGTTTCTTACGCACGGGTGTTCTAATCCATTTTATCACTGGTTTCTTACGCACGGGTGTTCTAATCCATTTTATCGCTGGTTTCTTACGCACGGGTGTTCTAATCCATTTTATCGCTAGTTTCTTACGCACAGGTGTTCTGATCCATTTAAATATCAGCCATCCGATGTTCTAGAGAGTTAATTATACGCTTGGCGTGTGAAAAATGTCTAAATAATAATTTATGTAACATTTGAAGCCACAATAAAGACCTGCAATAGGCAGATGGAGCTCTGGCATAGAGCACCTTCCATTAGTAAACAATATCTGGGGCCTGTTTCACGAAAATCCAAATTTTAGTAATTTTATTGGATAATATTAGATGGATTTTAGTGCTTAGCCAATCAAAATTGAAGTATCTACTAAAATTTGGATTTTATCTTTAGTTAAGATTTCGAGAAACAGGTCCCTGGATTTAAAAGTGAACAATATCAGTATAACAGTGTATATTTTTTCAATTCGTGAGGAGTGATCTTTTGTTTTTATAACATTGTGCAGGGTCTTGTTATTGTTTTTAATAATGTTATTTTATTATCGTTTTAATACTTGGTAACTGTTATTGAGTGTTTTTATATTATTATACACGTTCTTGTTCATATAACTGTTTCAATATTAGGTAAATCGCGCACTGTATCTTAAGGTCTGTCATTGAGTCAACTTGTGTGGTTGTGATTTTCGGCTGTACGTGACAAGAAGTAGGGTTGCCTTTCCAACCTCGTGGGTTTTCTACGGGTCCTCCCACTGCTAAAGACCCCTTCCCGCTAGCGAACTATTGAAATAAAATTAAAGCATGTGTTAGTCCCGAAATGACCTGGTTTTTGTCGGGTTGACGTTAAACTCTCTCTCTCTCTCTCTCTCTCTCTCATATTAGGCAGTTGTTGTTATTGGTTTTCGTACAGGGTATTGTTTGTACTGTTTTATTACTTTATTACTAAACGTTATCAATTGTATTTTTACTTTTTTATTATGTAACACATAAATAATAATAATAATAATAATAATAATATTAATAATAATAATAATGGGGTATTCAAATTATTTGGTTGTTTATTTATTTATTATCTCATATAAGGCAGTTGTTGTTATTGGTTTTCGTACAGGGTATTGTTTGTACTGTTTTATTACTTTATTACTAAACGTTATCAATTGTATTTTTACTTTTCTATTATGTAACACATAAATAATAATAATAATAATAATAATAATAATGGGGTATTCAAATTATTTGGTTGTTTATTTATTTATTATTTAAATGGGGGGTTGAAAGACCACAAAAATATTCTTTAACTGTCATGAACCGCCGAAGCAGGGTTGGATTTATATGATGAGAGGCCTAGGCTATCTCAACCCACCATCCGAAGATGGGGGATCACGGTGGCTAAGTGGGTAAGACGCTGGCTCGCTAGCCTGGAGGTCGGGTGTTCGATCCCTGCATTGGCCGAGAAAGTTCATCCAGATTTTCCGGCGTGGTTTCCCCTTGTCAGTGATGCAGGACGGAGGGCCTGGCAAGGACAGCTGTCTAGTCATTCGGATGAGACGAAAAACCGAGGTCCCGTGTACACATTGGCGTGCACGTAAAAGATCCCTTGGCAGTTGGAATTCGATATAAGAGTAGGCCGTAGCGCCGCTGCCCGGGCAAAATTTCCCTCATAGCACACTGTATGGCGTCTTCATTAGCCCAGGTTGGGAGCAGAACAGTAGGACGTTAAACCCCATTTCATTTCGTTTATTATACGATATGGATAGAAGTTACGCAAGGGTGTAGCTGGATTATCGGTCATTATTAAAAGCGTTCTTTTTATCTAGAAATCTGAAATTTCCCCTGATCAGTGGTGCAGAACGGAGGGCGTGCACGTAAAAGTTGTTGTGTGAAACTGTGAGAGGATATCTGACAATTCATACAAAGAATTGACTGTCACTAGGTAAGAGAACACGAAAGACAAATAGAAAAAGTCTGTGCATTACCATGTTTTTATTAAGTATAGAATGAATAAACAGAGGGGAATGTACGGACTATTTCTATTTTCTCGTTTTCTCTTATCTAATGACATTCAATTACTTTATTGAATTGTCAGATATCCTCTTACAGTCTCATATAACAACTTTTGGTATTCGAAGGAATTATTAGTGAGCAGAAATTCGCCTGTGTATCTGTTATCACTCGTCACTTCAGTCAGTTATATAGAGGGATAACTCGTGTTTCCTCACTTCGGACATTACGCTCTATCGTAGCAATGATCTCCGAGTTAAAATTATATTTGGAACGTGTTTAACCAGTTCTATCACATATGTGATAATGACTGCGCCAATATTGTCCTTTAAGTGTGTGAGACTGTATCAACCATTTTTTATAACGGTATATTGCAGCCTTTGTGAAGTTTGCTGTGGAATCCAAAAATAGTTCTAACCACTAAAGAACAAGATGCATCCCATATTAAGAAAAAGAATCCTGTTGCTGTACAATAGTCGTTATGGGTAAAGGGGGGTAACTCCACTTTGCTAGTAGGGTTGCGTTACCCTTTAATCTAGTAAGTTCATAGGGACCGCACTACACGCTAAACAAAACCGACAAAAGACAAACCTTGGGTTTTTTGCCTCCAACTTCAGTACTTCATAGTTCAATGATACGAAAAGTGAGTTCATCCAAACTCTGCAATCACATACTACAATATCTTGTACATATGTAACAATATTTCCAGGATTATAGGATCTTCTCTGTGCTTCACAATGGCTGGAGACCACACTCTACCTCGTATTAGTGTAATTTGTACTCGTATAACACCCCGTATGAGGAGAGGACCGTTATGCCCGATTGTGCTATATGAAGCGGGTAGTACCCACTATCGATTGCCGAAGTCCCATTTCCTGGATGATATTTAAAAGGTAGATGGAATGAACCACCACTGTTCAGCAGATCAATCGTTTTAGTTAGGTTTGTCCTATAGGGAGTCAAGAAATTCGCATCGTGGCTGTAAATGTGGAGATTAATTAAGCTGCGATTATAATGCATGACTGTGTTCTTCTAACGTGCTTTCCCTTGTCAATAAGACAGGTCGGTGAGTGATAGCGTCTAGTCCTTCGGATGGGACCAAAAACACGGGCTCGTGTTCATTTTTTCTTGCACGTAAAAGAACCCGTGACAACTGAACGCCGATAAAGAGTATTAATTATATTAATTACTAAAGAGAGAGAGAGAGAGAGAGAGAGAGAGAGATGGGGTTTAACGTCCACTCGACACAAACTAGGTCATTTCGGGACTAACACCTGGTTCAATTTTATTTCAATATTTCGCTTGCGCATAGGGGTCTTTAGCAGTGGGAGGAAACCGGGGGACCCGGAGAAAACTCACGAGGTTGGACAGGCGACCCTACTCCTTGTCACGTACAACCGGGGATTCGAAACCACACCAGTCGACTCAATAACAGACTTTATGATACAGCGCGCGCACGCTAACCATTCAGCCATCCAACCCCCCTAATTACTAAAGAAGAAATATACATTTTTAATTAGATGGCAGACATTAATAAAGAGTTTCCACAGTAATTATATCGTCTTTATCAACCTAATGAAATATTTCACTATAAACCCATATTCCCATAACAATATGAGTAGATTAAAATATGTACGTTTCTTCAGTAGTGGTAATCTGATATGTCAGCTTCAATCTGCATATTATTGAAATGAATGAAATCATTTTAAATTTTGATAGCAACATAATTATTTTGACAAACGAAAGAGGACCTTATCTGTTCTGAATCATGTAATTATGGATGTGCCAGTGAAATAGCTAATACTCGTATATTCAAAGAGCGATAGACAAACACTTTCTGGTGAAGCATTGTACGATAACTGGAATTTTGTTTTAAGATGCGTATTTTGACTTTTAAATACCCCTCTCCCCCTCTAAATATAGTTCAAACGATCCAAATTAAATCTGTTTTCTGTATGAAAATGTATTTGGACCTTTTTACTGGGATGCATCGCGATATCTTGTATTTCGTGTTATGGCCCGTATTTTGACGTTAAATACACCCCCTCCCCCCCCCCCCCACACACACGCCCGCCTCCTTTGATACAGGTTAGTGCTATTCAAATTTTACTGGGCGCCATGGAAAACGCATCACTTAGTTTTTCGTATAACAAAATGATCCTGTAAACATATCTTATTTATTTTGCTTCTTATTGTGAACAATATTCAAATGGGAACACATCAATAACAACACATTTGTACACTTATGGATGTTTAATCTGTAATCAACGGTACAAAGTCAGAGGGGTCAAAACCAAAAGTACGACACAGATGTCAGTAGCGCGTGTGTCCTCCACGGAAATGGAATTTACCAATGTTTGAAAGAAGGCCTGGGGCAAATTGTTCCATTCTTAGACAAAAGCAGCAATGGTGTGCATCTGTGGTCTCCGATACAGACGGCCTCCAATCTCATCCCAGATATGTTCTATCGGTGCCATGTCCGGAGACATGGCTGGCCAGTCCAAGACATTGATGTTGTTAGCCTCCAGGTAGTCCATACTAAAACGGGCGGTATGCGGACGTGCATTATCCTGTTGGAAGTGCTGACGTTGTGGGTGCGCTCGAAACATCGGAACAACAATTGGTTGCAAGACATCATCACGGTAGGCTACGGCATTAACGCGACCCCTGCAAATGTGTAGGGGGGTCTGGTGATGAAAGGTGAAGCCTCTCCACACCCTTACACTTCCCCCACCCCATCGATTCGTTTCGAAGACGCAGCAGTCTGCAAGACGTTCCCCAAGACGTCTCCACACACGTTGACGGCCATCAGCGTGATAAAGATGAAAGCGACTCTCATCACTGAAGAGCACACTTTGCCAGTCTACTCTTCTCCATGTCTGGTGTCCTTGAGCCCATATCAAACGCCGCTGGCGGTGATGATCCCTGAGGATAGCTCCAACATAAGGTTGTCGTGCACGGAGTCCTACTTCTCTTAGACGACGTCTTACGGTGTTGGCACTTACTGGTCCTTGTCTTCCGACGACTGCTGCACCTGTTCGAGTCGCTGGGCGGAATCTGTCACGCAGATGAGTGACCCGGATGTACCGGTCTTGAGCCTGGGTTGTAACGCGTTGTGGACCAGGAGGTTGACGGTCACCTGTTGATCCAGTAACTCGAACACGTTCCACCAACCTTACAATAGTGGACTGATGGCAATTGAAGTGTCTGGCAATAGCACGTGTAGACATGCCAGCCCTGGAATTCCCATGGCTTCATTCCGTTGATTTACTGTAAGTCTCGGCATCTCTAGCTCGATTCCTTCACACGTCCAACAACAAATTACGACAGATTGACGTTTCACAGTTCATGTACTGCACATCAAGTTGAAAACATGCTTTTAAAGGGCTCACACACAATGCTGCACGTGAATATTGGGTTTTTCATGTGCATCTCGTGCAATTTTATTTTTTTTTGCACACGGGGCGATATTTTTTGCGTTTGGGAGCATTGTGTGAAACAATAGTTCATAGTATGGCATAATATTATACATACAAAACCACCTAGTAATAAAATATTTGGCAAAAAAAAGTGATGCGTTTTCCATGGCGCTCAGTATATAAATGTGCCAGAAAAAAATGTACATTCTGTAGCAAGCAATAAACATACTTTCCAGCAGTATATACAGTATAACTTGCTCCGGCGTGCACTCCTAATCAGCGAACACTTGCTTCAACGAGCACCAAAAAATCCCCCCGAGCGATTTTTAAGTAATTTAACCTCTACTAAACACGCACCTGTTCAACGCGTGCAACGGGCATCACGATTAATTCCCCCCGTAAAAATTATACTGTTTCAACGGTCACTCCTCTAACGCGGTCAGCGGTCACTATTTTACTAATAAATTCAACAAAACATCGCCCATTCAACGGCCATTGTTGAATGATAGCACCTTGTCGTTCTTTCTTTTTAACACTCCCGCTAATCCCGTGAGTAGTAGTTAATTAACTGGACCCCACTGATCAGGCAAAAAGAAATGTAAAAAAAACAATCAACCCTGGTTTATCTGTTTATCAATCTTTTGTATTATTAAACGACTAACCTGATCATTGTTTTCACGCGTAACGACACATTATTTGATACTGATTGAATAAAATGAAAGTACCGAGTTTTGTCACGATCATCTAGTATCTCTTTTCCATTGCCACTTTTGTTTTATTAAACAGACGTTTTA